TCATTGCCAAAAACGTACAATAAATTAAATATAAATTACACAAAATCAAACTCTCCGATCCGGCAGGAAACACGCCAACCGGTGCGTCACAGATCAAGCCGCTAAAAATGTAACTTAGGCTGAACACCGCCGGTTAATTTCAACAAGCAAAGGAGATCGCCGAGGCTATAGTCATTTTCGTATCAAAAATCTAGCTCATCACTGTCCCACTCATCTTCCTGGTCATTCTGCACCAGTTCCAAAAATCGCTGTAACCCGGCCATCTGCCTCAGGGGCGGTAGCGCATTGGGCGGGTTATGTTGCAGAGCTCGCGCTTCAGCCATTGCTTGAACCTGTAATTGCCGCTCCGCGGCCGCAGCCCTAGCTGCATCATCTGGACGACGGCCATTTTGCTGGTTGGCATGAGCACCAGGAGGCACCGGTGCAGGGGGTGGTGCTCGAAATCGTGCTGCGTTTGGAGGAGCGTGTGCTGGCGGAGGTGGACGTTGATTTCGGCCCCAGTTGTAGTTATTCGCCCCCTGGCCGTTGTTGCCGGTTTCAGCGGCGATTTCCTGCTCGAGGTCTTCGCTGTCATCATCGCTATCCACTTCAGCTTGCATCTGTGCCGCGGCGAGATTCCAATCTGGTCCGCCGGGTCCGGAATCGTGACCTTCTTCCAATTCCCAAAGACGCATGTAGCAACTACCTTTCGGATCGTTGAAGTGGCTGTACGGGTTGGATTCGAAGAGCCAGCTTGAGCAGAGGTAACAGAAGTGTGTATTGCACTTGAAACAGATCATATGGTTACAGCCCATTGATTTCTGGCAGCGAGTATCGCATGTTGGGCAGGGTGCGGTGTATGTCTTGATATATTCTTCGCTTGCCTTTTCGGCTGCGGATAAATCGGCGGCTCGTCGTGGGTAGCAGAATGCTAGCTCGCCGTGCCAACCTTTTTTGCAGACGCAGCAGAACGCGTAGCTGCAATCCTCACATACCGAGAGACGTTCTGACATTGGTGGAAGTTGATCTTCTGTTCCTAGTGGATCAAATGGGAGGCGTGAACTTTCGTCATCCTCGTCATCCTCGTTGTCCGACAATTCCATTTCTGCGTTTATCGAATCTGGCTTTGCGTGCCGTTTTGAGCGAGCGGCACCCTGACACCATTGGCGGGGACAATAAATAGTCGTTTTGTCTGATTCCAGTTTCCGCTTCCTTTTGAAGTGGACGTAGCGTTGGACAACTTCCTGGTCTAGTGGGATTTGTAACAGCTCACTTGGGTTGAGGGTTCGGCCCTTTTTCCTCAGCCGCCCAGGAGCGCCGTGTCCCACAGGTCCGTCCTGTGGTCCATTTTCCGGATCCCTCCCGCAGTTCGGGGCCAAACATTTCACCTTACCAACATCTCCTTCCTTTATACAAGCATTATAAAAGCCCTGAAGGCAACTAACGCAGAAAACATGGGAGCAGAGCAACATTCTATGGCAATTAACCCCTTTCTTAGGTTCCAGACAAACACCACACTCAAAAGTTTCCTGTTCAAACTTTTGGCGCCGAGATTGCATGTCAAAATCCATAAGTGCGACTTTTAAATCTCGCGATAGGATAACGGGTAATTCGGGGTCCGTCGAAAGATCGAATGACCGCTCTCCTAACTGCTGTAGATGATCGATATATGCAAATATGATCACATCCATCCCACATTCCTCCCATAATTTCTTCCCACAAGTTACTAATTCCGCTACTTTTGATGGAGGTAACCACTCTGGATTCGTCGTGATAGAAAAGCGAGGAGGTGAAAGTCTGGGATAACCGTCCGGAAGTTCAATTTCCAGCCTAAGCGGTGGAAGATGTGAGAGGGAGCATGGCTCCACTTCTTCCGAGTCATTGTGTAAAGCGTCTCCATCCTCACGGGCACTGAGAGATGCCGGTGGGGATGGGAGTGACGGTTGAGGTCGTAGGAAAATAACCTTTAAAGGGCTACGGGGAGAGATGGGAAGCTCAAGTGAAGCTCTGAATTTCGAACCAGCGTCTATAACGATTTCGGGGTATATCGCAGCAATGGACGACAGCTCAACGGCTCTCTCGTCCTCGCACAGGTCGTCCATTTAATTATTATTTGTTTGTATAATTTTGATTTTAATTTAATTATTTTTTTTCTGGGTAAGTATTATCGCTTATCCCTCTCGCGTTTGATATATATCTCTCGTTCACGGAGTAACAACGGGGTTTCAGCCAGCGAGAGCCTTGGTCGGGGAAATGGACACGAGTGGCTGAACATCCGTCTTGTTAGAATCCAAGTTCGATTGTTCTCCAGGCAGAAAGCAGAGCAGAGCAGAGCAGCGGAAGAAATAAATGGTGGGAAAATGAGACGTCTTGCATACCTTATCCTCAGTCTTGTCATCTCGCCATTGCGGGGAAGTGGGATGTTATTTAAGTAAATATCTGGAAGGCCACTGGGACACGGATCTTTGGATGGAACACGAGCAGAATAGATATATAAATGCTCGCCCTCCCGCAGGGGAATTATCTTGTCTCTTCTATGCTATTTAATACGCCGATTCAGTCAAATAAGAAAATGAAGTCCAAGTGGGATGGCATTTTCGCCGCACTGGAGGTGTTCGTTGTACCTTTCCTGCCCAACATTAGTAAGGCATCTGTTTCGGGCAACGTGGGTTTTCCTTCACCCCTGTTCCTTTCTCTTCTTTTCATTTTTTCTCGGGCTGTGAGCAATACTCGACTCTTTTCGCTTTGTCCCTCTCGTATATCCCATGCCTGCTCGTCGATCGATGACGTGTCTCTGCTCTCGCAGTTCATTTGCCGGTTATATCCACGAGAGAGTATGAGGCTGTCAGAAGAGGGAAGAGACCTGTTAAATAAGGACAGAAGCATCTGAAGAACAACCGGCACCACGAACCAATGCTCCACACTCAATAGCAAAAGCCGGTCGCCCATGAATTGGGAGGCTATACTACGAGCTATATTCAACTTCAATCTCCCACTTTTTGTATAGCCTGGTGGTGATTCTTCTATTTCTTGTTGCTGACGCGCCCATGAAATATAACTACTATCTTGAGATAGTACGCACTGCTGGTTTTGACCATTCTTGCAGGCTTCCTTTTGTAATGTCCGAGATGGAAGTCCCTTTGGCATCACTGTCATTAACCCATGTCCATTACGTGAGTGTGCGATCCCGCTCTCTCGACTCCGCGTTTCATCTAAACTAACATATTTGTCCTCGGATACCGCCCCCTAGAACCCGGACGACCCCATATCCCACGCGTCTGCCTTCCTAGCTCTAGTCCCACAAGCGCTATGCATTATTTATGTCACTCTCATCTGGGCAACGCGCGAGGTGGAGGTCCTGCTTATGTTTGCCGGTCAGATGCTCTGCGAAGGGTTGAATCTCGTCTTGAAGAGGTTGATACGCGAGGAGAGACCAGCTCGTATGTTTTCACTCCCTTTCGTATCAGTTTACTCTCTATTTATCCAGACGGGCTCCTTTACAAATGGTGCTAATTTGACTAATTTTAACCCCAACAGAGATGTTTGGAAAGGGTTATGGGATGCCATCTTCACATTCCCAATTCGTCGCTTTCTTCTCCCTCTCCCTTACATTTTTTCTCCTTGTCCGACATGTACCTGACCCTTCAACCAATCGTTCTTCCTCTACATTTATGCAACGAGCAGCGCTTTCGGTCTTAGCCTGTATATGTGCTGGTTCAGTCGCTGCCAGCCGCGTGTATCTCAATTATCACACTCCGAAGCAGGTTCTAGCGGGTTATACTGCAGGGTTGGTTTGCGGAATATCGTGGTTCTGGTTCTCCAGCTATCTACGACGGGAAGGCTGGGTTGATTGGGCTTTGGAAACACAGCTAGCGAGAATGGCTAGAATGCGTGATCTGCTTATTGAAGAAGACCTCGTCGAGGCAGGTTGGCAACGGTGGAACGACCAAAGAGTGGCATTCAAGCGGAAAGCTAAACCTTCTCGTAAGCTTAATTGACAGGCCGTCCGGGGTCCTGTATCGCATTTATTTAGAATATGCACGCGGAACCACTGCTTAGTGTCTGATGCATTGCACTGGATTGGCGTGTATGGCGTTTTCTGTTCTGATGATGCTCTTTTTAGAGATGTGGGCTTGTATCTGTACACTCATACATAGCATAATGCCGCTTGGAGCTGTAGAGCAGCGAACCGCCAATTGTTTGTTAAACCATCCAAATTATCGCCATCAATGATTCTAATATCGTTCTTTGATCGCTGTGAGAGGAAAAGCTCTCAAAAAATGTCATGTGACACTATCGGATTTTCCTTCATCCGGTTCCCGGCTCATCACCAGAGCTTCAACCGGAGGATAAATTGATATTGAGCTGAGTATTAGCGTAGCGGAGGCGGACTATGGATGGTTTGGCCTCAACCTGACATCTATATTACCGTTGGCCATGAAGGAGTCTGCCTCAGAATCCCTGCGCTGCGGCTTGTCGCCCTCACTTTCCAACTTCTCCTTAAGCCTGAGCCGAGTTGAAGGTTGTCGTTGGACGTGGGAACACTAGTATTCGAGTTTCTGCTTTACATTGTGCATTTATAGACCTATTTCTTTTTGCAAGTTAGAATACCCGGCATTTGGCCTGTTTCAAAACTTCAAAATATCATGGAGCCTCCCTCCAAGTCTCGGCGTGCTGACATGCCGGAACACCATATCGTCCACGCCGATGAGATCGACCAGCTGGGTAGTGATATTTCTACAGTCCCCGATGATCAACTCATGCTGGAGCTGGTAGAAGGTTTCAAGGCTGAACAGGCTCGCAAACCTGATCTCAACGACTTTCCTGGCTTTCCCCAACGTCATGGTCGAGAACCAGTGCGCCCCGAATTGCGGAGGGATACAGCCGCGGCTGCTCCACCACCGCCGATGAAGCCGCCACCACCGGCACCTGTGCTGCAGAATACAGGCTCCCAAACAGATTCGTTAAGCCTGTCCCAGCTGCGGAAACTAGTGCACGAGATGCCTCGGCCAGAACAGCCTTCTTACGCATTTGAATACGCCGACTGTCAGCCATTCCCAAAGGAAGTGGATGAATGGTTTCAGTACAATGAACCGGATCGTCTTATGCTGTTGGGGTCCAAGGCCTTTTTTGAGCAGAAGTGGTCGGATTTTTGTCAGAACCTGGCGTGTCCCCCAGCTGTGTCGGATATCTCGTGGATCGATGTTGACGAAGAGATCCGAGAGAAGTTCGTGTCGTGCATGATTGAGTCTCTCGAAAATCCGGATTTTTTCACTCGTATTGAAGCCCTTGAGGTCGTCTGCTACATTCTTACAGGAACATGGGCCGTTACCGCAGGGAAAGTTTCGGAAGATGTTCCGGGCGGATTTTCAAAATTTGAATCCTCGGATGAGTGTCCAAATTCAAGGTCGATGCAGATTAGATGGATGGTAAACAATGTTTTACTTGTACAACGATGTGGCGGAATCGCCGTATTGTTTTGGGCTATGAACCGCATTTTTGAGAAGGACCCGTTAGTTAATCCATATATCACGGATTTTCCGTTTTTATTTGCGTTCTCGTTTTTCTAATATGCGTATACTAGGCCGGTAACAAACACGGATGCGAAATTTTTCGAGACGGAGAACGGAACGGCAGCGTATTATGCTGCTCGTGAGAAAGAAGCAAATCTCATCTTGACTTCTATGTACTTAATTGTAGAGGTAGCTCGCAAACAGGAAGAGTCGAGTCCAAATCAAGCGGACTTGAAGAAGGATATTGGTATATTTTTGACTGTCGCATCCTCGGAAAAGAATAAATCATAGCTAACCATTCTTTTGGAAGCCGCCTTAAAACCGAATATTCTCGTTTTCCTTGTCGAAATTATTTCTCGATTGCGATGGGAGGATGCAGCGACGATTCCATTGAGCAGAGTAAGTTTAGCCCCGATTTCTATTTGAAATCCCTCATTCTAAAGGTCCCTAGGTTATTCTCCTGCTATGGAAATGCCTGTTGCTCTTATTTGGAGGATCCGACAGCTTAGCTAGGGTAAAAGCTGGCCTGGAACCTGAATACGGTACCTTGGAAGCAGCATCTAAATCGTCCAAGCTACCAGTTCTTACTGCTTCACCACTTGATTATCACATTTTTCGACAGGAAATTACCTCCAAATACCCTGCGTACAACCCCCCTCCTCCGTTAGTACCGTTTGAGTTGGAAAACAATTCTATCCTTCCGCCATTACCAAGCTATTCGTGCAGATATAACTCTGAATCAACCCTATTTTCTGGCATTGGACCAGCCTCCCTAAGTGGAAACGGATCTATTCTTCACCAATCAGTTCACATCGCCACTCCTGCTCCATCACCTCCTCCGTCTCCCATGGGCCCAGGTGGGAAAGGCGGTAAAAAACAAAATTATCAAACAAACCAACATTTTCCTTTCATGTATCCACCCCTTGACCAAACCAGTAATGATATTGGCGGAAAGGGAAGCAGTGAAGTTCAGGATAGGGTGGTGGGTAAAAAATGGGAAGGCAGTGATGTGCCTGCATCTATAATCGAGGCCGGCCACCTGTTCTCTAGTCGAATGAAGATGACAAGAGCAATGCGCCAACTCTGGGAGGAGCGAGAGAAATTCCTGAAGTATGATAGGGGCTGGGATGCCACAGATTTAGACAATAAACCGCCATCTGACTGGTCGAACGATGTTGACTCAAACTCGGGACAACCGAAGCCAGAAAAGGAGAAGCCTGACATGAGTTTCCAACATGTAAAGGAATCCGACGACCCGTATATCCAAGATCGGTTAGATGCTGTCGAAGACTTCTACGTAAGTTTCGTTAAACTCTGGCCCGCGTACATTGCCTAGCTAATGTCTGCGTTTTGTAGAGCCAAGCCTTTCCAAATCTACAATCGATTGTTATTGTCCTTTTAAAAGAAATTTTAGTAAACATCACGGAAGCTGCCGCGTTGCAGTCGAAGATGAACGGACAGAATGGCTATAAACAAGGGTAGGGGCTTCCGGCGTGACGTTTAGAGGTATAAATTTGAAAGAGCTAACATACATAATGTATTAGCGCCTCCAATCCCACCTTGTTCGACGATACGGCTGCGCCATATTCAGCCTCTCAAGATATAGAGGGGGGGGATGGCCCTCATGATAGCGAAGAACTTGATGCCATCAGGCACCGAGAAATAACTTCTAGCGCTATTTCAGGGTGTTTATTATTAATACTGAAGTGGTTCAAACGATCCCGTATGTTCCAGCACGAGATCTGCTTTTGGTCGGATTTTTGCTGACACAAATTCCCAGACATCTTAAAATTCGAATACATGACGCAGTTGCTACTCGATTCTAACTACCTCCCTCTTATATTAAAAATGTTCATCCACCAGGAGATCGATAGAGCAGTTGCACAACGAAATGATCGAGATGATCTGAGGTTGGTGACTCCGAGCTGCAAGTAATGTAATGACTGATGGGCTTCATTGCTAATTTGGTTTAGTTTTTTCCATTTCTGCCATATCCATTCTAACCAACCCCCGGAACTTGCAACCTCATCTGAACCAGAAGAGCCTGACAGTGAGGACGATGCTGCCCCACCCCCGATCCCTCGAAAGGCCCGGCCGCAACAACCTGCACCAGATAACTCTGTCCGCTCAGTATCACCACAAAAGCTACCACCTCATCCTCGCGAATGTTCGGCACCCCTTCCTGAAGTCGATGAGTTGGGTTATCCAAGTGCTCCCGCTCCCGCTGGGCCAATAACCACCTTCTCCTTCCGAAACTTCTTCTCCTCCATCAACTTCCTGCACATCATGCAAAAAATAACCCGAGGAAAAGCGCATCGATGCCTGCTACTTGTCCAATACAAATCTAGCAACATATTGCGTAAGGGGATCAAGGTCCCCGATCCACGTCTTCGCCTTTATACACTCAAGCTAGTGAAGTCGCAAGTCCCGTATTGCGGTCGAAAGTGGCGTCAGAACCACATGCGCGTCATCACGGCAATTTACCTGTATTGTCGCCCGGAACTGCGCGATGACTGGCTGGCTGGGAGTGACGTGGATGCTGAAGTTGAAGAGGCATTGCCCATGGAACAGACATTGCGTGGACTCACGCACTGGTGGCACCTGCGCAAGTATAAAGATACGATGGCGTTTGAGGATGCGAACACACTGATGGACGAGGAACGGGATTTCTTCGTGCGGGAGCTGGAGAGTATGGGGTGGGGGGTTAACGGAGATGAACTGGCCAACACAGCCAGCGAGGAGGGTGAGCCACTTTCAGGGGTTAATGGGGTGGAATGGTCAGAGCCTGGAGTGGCACAATCGGATAATTGGTGATCAGGGAGACAGTCACTTTGTGATTGGCTTGTTTGACTTGTTTTCCTAGGTGCTATGCTGAGAAATGCTTGCTTTTCGTTCGTGATATGCGCCAGTTTTGAGGTTGTTGTTTTATCGTTGAAGGGATTATGGGTTAGAAGAGAGATTATCATTTCTAGAGGCCATGATCTACATTATCCTACCTCTCCTTTCGATTTTTCTTGTTTGAATTTGATATCCAAGATGTCCAATGTTTGATTTCTGATACAGCTACTTCCAAAGTTTACTTCGTTACTGAGCCGCTCGGCTTCAGCATGATTCTTTGCTTGTGCGTTGTCAGCGGTACTCTCATGTCCAAGGACATGTAAGGATTGCTGGCCAATTTCTACCCGCTTCTGGCACATATTTTTTCGTTTTCTAAATTACGAATGTCCTTGAGATAGCTGCATGGTTAATACCAGATACAGTAGTCCGCTACAATCAATTGCTATATTTCTTCAAAATGCTCTAGGCACTGGCAAACGCCTCTTAACACCTCAAATCATAGCACTTCTAAACGTGCAACTCCAATCCCATCTGCTTCACGATTCAACGCCTCAATTTCCGCTTGCACATATGGGATCCCCTCTTCCCTCCTTCTCTGCGCTGTTAACAGCTCAATTTCGCCCGGATAGTAGATCCTATCGACACCTTTCATCCTCTCCCCGCCGACGACCCTCTGGTACAAGTAATCCATCCGCGATTTAAACTCCTCCAATTCCATAAACAGGTCAGGTTTAATGGCCACAATGAAATGCCCCACGTCAGCTTCCTTCGATGGGTCATACGGACCAGTAACATGTCCCGCAAAAGCAGAGCCAGACAAAACTCCTGAAAAAACATCCATCATAATCGCCAACGCTGACCCCTTAGGCCCGCCCATTGGTAACATCACCCCTCCCAACGCCGCAACAGGGTCTGTAGTCTGCGCGCCATTTTCGTCTAACGCCCAGCCCTCCGGAATCTGCTCTCCCCTTCTTCGCGCTTTGTATATTTTGCCCCTAGCAGCAACTGACGGGGCCATATCAAGGATAAACGGCACCCCAGATGCGCCGGAGGGCGCTCCACATGCGATAGGTGAGACACCCAATAGTTTCTCCTTCCCGCCCCATGCAGGCAGCGCAGGCGAGGAGTTTGTAAAGACAAGGCTCATCATATCCGCATCCACTGCCTGCCGGACAAACGAGGCGGACATGCCAAAGTGGTTCGAGTGCGTGACAGATACCATACCAATGCCATATTCCTTCCCCATGGCAATTGCACGGTCCATGGCAGCGTGTGCGGCGACGAAACCAAACCCGTTATGCCCATCTACTTGGGCAACGACGGGTGTGATTTGTTTCAAGGAGGGGATTGCGGTGGGGTTCAGGACACCCTGTCGGATCCGGGTGAGGTATGAAGGTATCCGATTTATGCCATGGCTATCGACGCCGCGCAGATCGGCTTCGACAAGGCATTTCGCGATTATGGAGGCGTTTTGAGGAGGAACGCTGTGTTTTTCAAGGAGGTTGCGCACGAAAGTATCCGCAGTTGATGGCGCCACTAGTGCCGTTTTGGATTGGATCTGGGGCACGGGCATGCTGGGGGCTTGTTATTTATGGTTTCCAATTAAGTGGATATCGACCCGAATTACTCCGTATAAATCCCTCGTTATCTCCTTGGAACAGGTATCTTGGCAGGAACCTGTGTGACACGTCGTCAGTCCTTGGCCCCATTTGGTCTGCCATTCAAGATCTGTGGGCTGGTGGCGAGAAAAGGATGTCCATGTATATCACATGAGTACGTACCCAGGCATCCAGGCGGGGTGGATGGCGTACTGGTAAGCGCTGTTCATGGAATGCTTTCTCAAGTAGGCACTTGGTGTTGGGGCCACCTCTGCTGAGACAAGAGATAGTGGGTTCGAATCCCACCTTCTCCAAAAAGGATATTATCACATCTTGGTGGATATTGGGGGTACCTTGTGGGGCAAAGCCCCCCTTGAGGGTTAGATCTAGAATGGTATAGTGAAGTCTCTCCATCAAGGATGAGAGAGTAGCCGAACATAAGGGTAGGCTAGTGAGGTGAAGGCTGTCATAGTCTCAGACTGCATATGGCCTTAGTAAAAATATGAAGAACAACAACAACAACAACAACCCAGGCATCCAGGAAGACATACCGTGATAGTAGCTCAGCGTTCTAAATGCTAGGCGTGGTGGATACTCGAGGTTGGATGTGCATCCAAACATATTACATGATTGGGACAGTGGGGCTTCCAGCTAACTCTGAATGTCGAAGGTGGCGCAGCCACAGCCGAAGTTGCGCTAACCGTGGAAGTGTTTTTTATTTCCCCATGGCTATAGAGCTATATAGAACTGATAACCAGGTGCGATTGGTGGGCATATGAGTCTCATAGGAAGCTCCCATCCATATAATGATTGTAGTCATCGATAATGGTAGGAAATATCTTTGGATGTCATGATTTTGCAGAGTATGAGGTGAGAAGAAAGATGGATTCTTGAAGCTGAATGATGAAGCAGTAATATGTTGAGAAGAAAATATGAGATAGTGGATCTGTACCAGCAAATAGAATTGCATATATTTTAGTATGAGAAATTATTGGTTGGTACTTCTGAACTAACAGTCGAGTTAATACACTAATGGTAGTTATTGCGCCAATTGTGCCTCGCCCCCAGACGAATTGCTTCATCAACATATCCTCTCCCCCGAACATCCTGCGAATTGGTCGTCAGCATTGCAACTATCCTATGGCCCATAGACTCGACCTGGTCGTTTGTGCTCTCTGGATACATTGGCTTTACTTTGCTGCCTAAAGTAGCTCGTTGATCCCATAAATTGCCGGCAACCAGCTTTTTATGGCAGACAGCGATTTGAAAATTATAGTGTAATTCTGCTGAAGATATAGAAGTGACAAATATTCCCCGAGTTAAGGCTCCTGAGAAACTATGGTGCACTGGAAAGAAATCGTTCGAGAGAAGCGCCGGAGTCAAGCCGAATCCATCCCTCCCGCATGGCGATTGCCATTTATTCCTGAGGATTTCGTCAATTCCATAGATGTCATTGAATCTTGTGATATTCTTTCTGACAAGGAGAGACAAATCACAAAAATCACCGATGCACCCGCTCTACTTCGCAAAATGGCTTCTGGAGAGCTATTTTGTTTGGAGGTGACGACCGCGTTCTGCAAACGGGCTGCAATTGCACACCAATTAATCAACTGCTGCACGGAGATGTTCTTTGAACGTGCTTTGAAACAAGCAAAAGAGCTTGATGATCATTTGGCCAGGACGGGGAGTGTGGTTGGACCACTGCATGGTTTACCAATCTCGATCAAGGATGGATTTGAAATCGAGGGCATTGATACAACTGTTGGTATGATTTTTTTCTTTTCTTTTCTTATCTTTTCTTTCTTTTTTCTTTTTTATTTTTTTTTTTTTTTTCTCTCTCTCTCATTTTTTGGGCTGAATACATCATTTTATTCTGCGGGTTGTTGTAACGGCAGTTATATTTGTATTAAGTGCTGACAAACGACAACTCAGGATGGGCTGGTTTGATTGGAAAACCAGCTGAGAGGTCCGGGAGCGTCGTTCGACTGCTGCTTTCTTTAGGTGCAGTTTTGTACGTCAAAACGAACATACCACAATCACTCATGGTACGTTTGCTCCTGTTTCGGACAAATTAGCTTCAATGTGGTCCTGATATCCGCTGCCATAGATGTCGGATTCGTATAACCATGTATTCGGTCAATCCGTCAACGCTTTCAATAAACATCTTATCTCAGGGGGCAGCTCGGGTGGCGAAGGCGCTTTAGTTGGGGCCCAGGGTAGTATCATTGGTGTCGGGACAGATATAGGGGGCTCAATCCGGATTCCCGCTGCGTTACAAGGCTTGTACGGGCTTTTACCGTCTGTGGGACGCATCCCATGGGAAAAATCATCGTATGTATACAAAATCTTCGCCATTGATAAGATTCTGAGGGTTTTTTGTTAAACCAATCCCCAATTCAGGATGACCCAAAATTACATCGTCCAGCCAGTTGCTGGCCCAATCAGCCACACGCTGGGGAACATTGAAATGTTTATGAAAGCTGTCTCTTCTTCATGTCCGTGGAAAACCGATCCGAGGGCCTTACCAATTCCATGGAGAGAGGAGCTTACTAAACCGCCCACTGGACCGTTAAAGATAGCCTTCATTTTCGATGATGGGGTTGTGAAACCACAGCCTCCAATATCTCGAGCTCTGCGAGAAACCGCGGCTAGACTCAAGGCAGCAGGGCATGAAGGTAAAGCCCAGCAGAACCCTTATACAGTGATGTGAAATGGTCGTTAACAATTGGCAGTAATTGAGTGGGACGCCAGTTCACATGACGAGGGAATCAATTTATGGTTGAAAGCAGTATTGGCCGATGGTGGAGAGGATTGCCACAACATGTGTAAGTTGGTTGACGAGCCCCTGATTCAAGGTATGCTTGTCGGTGAGGAGCGGGATAAACTAGACATCCACCAACGGCAGCAGGTATGTTTAACCAGATTCTTTTTGTTTCTTTCATTCGTGTGTTTTCTTTTCTTTTTCTTTTCCCAGTAAATCACCAGATACACGGTGGCTTTTGCTCTCTTCTGTGCCAACTCCGCTTTGCTTCTTGGACGAAGTTGACCCAACCAAACATAGCTTGAGACGCAGAAAATTGCGTATAGGGAAATGTACCTTGCTCACTGGAACAAAATCGGCATCGACGCACTGGTAATGCCAGTTATGGCCTGGGTTAATTTCAAGCCACGTACTTGGGTTGAGAGCAAGCAGCTGCTCGGCTACAGTGCTCTCTGGAACTTGCTCGACTACGCAGCCCTGACAGTCCCAATTACCAAGGTTGATCCTGTCGTTGACGCACCGGGCAGTGAGTGGCTTGAGCACAAGCCTCGAAATGAATCGGACGCCTTTAATCATCAGCAATGTGAGTGGTCCATAAATGTATTGTCATTCTGTGGGCTGTGTAACACTGTTGCAGATAAAAAAGTTTTTGTATTTTGGTTGCTGATTAGATGAATGTAGATAATGTGAACCTAGTTAAAGGGATGCCGGTTTCGCTGCAAGTCGTGACGGAGAGATATGGAGAAGAAAAGGCTATTTCGATCGGGAAGGTTATAGAGAGTCTGAAATAAATAGATCGAATGTCTTGGGAGCGCTTCTTGGAGTAGATTTATGTTAGGTGATGCTGGTGGTGAAGATTTCACGATCATTTCATCCATTGCCTTCTTAGGTTTATATTGTCAGCGTTATTTCATCAAAATAGTCCTAGATATGTGTTCGCTCCTAGATTGGGGAGCGGCTCTGAAAGCAGCAACCTGTTTGCTTATGCAAGGGACCAAGTATGTTAGTAGAGCCAAATTTTAAATATTGGATTTAGTATTTAAAGCTTTGAATGGACACGTCGAACAGGTAGACGAAGCAGTCATTCATGAGTGAAATAAAGGGAAAGTGTACCTGATGAAGACTAGTAATGAGAGGAGATAAGAGACATAAATAGGACAGAGAAAATAGATATGAAATGAATGAGAGTAAGTGTGATGCGCATTGGATTGACCTGAACGCGGGGTATGAGGGTCATCATCATACTAAATTTAGATATCGAGAGAAGATACAGATATTGAGAAAGAGCGCGCAACTAATCAAAGGGCGGGAATGATTCTATATTAATTACCCTATAGAAACAGCAAGGGAATGAATGAAAAATGGTTTCGTATGGGTATTAACAAGATTGCATCCAAGCCTAATTCCGATCAAGACTTTGTGAAACCTTGAAAATAACAGGCAAATTAAGCAGGGAGAAGCCTTATAGTAAGACATGGCTCGTGTAAGTTGAGGATTGGTAATTGTTATATTATCGCTGTTCGAGAGAAGAAATAATAAACTGAGAAAAGAACGGAACCGCCTGGAGAGTTAGTTCTAACGGTCGCAAAAGAGGAGAGAACGGCAAGCTGAATTGCAAATTATTTCTACCATTTAATAGTAGATCCGTCAACTCGAGTTATGATGATTCGGGGTATGAGCCCGCCTTCATTATTTCCGGTTTCCTTGGCTTTATTCCCTCGGATACTATCGGGGTCCAATTTGATAATAAATTCTTCATTCTCCTTTGAATCTGGAAGAGTTGTTCGTACAGCAGCGGTATCATTCCTTTCAATGGGGCTTTTAGTAAGGCTCCCAATATTGGTTGCGATATAGTCAATGAGACTGCCACGACCATACAAACCCAGTCCCATGCAGGGTACGTCCTCGACATGTCGTAGAAGGTCAAACATGGAACGAAAGGGACGTCTACAGCGACCACAGTAGTACAAGAAGACGCCCTGATACCGAAGGTAGTTAAGGTAATATGTCGTTAATTTCTCAATATCCTGTCGACTAATGCCAGAGGGGCAGGATTCATTTTCGAGATGGTAGAACATGGACGAAACGGAGATAAAGGTAGCGTTGCAGCAGTAACATTTGATTGTACGCAGGTTGTATTTGGTGAGATGCTGAAGTGGGGTATCAGTAAATGAAATAATGACACCCCTGGAAGCTATTTCAATAGCAACAGGGTCAAATTGGAATAGACTTACTTCACAAATTCCTCGCCCATTTGAAACCACTTTTGCACAGTCTACACACATACGATGAATTGACTCGTTATGCTGAACAAGGAGTTCCGCTGATTCCGCGAACCAACGACAAGATCCACAGTAAAAATGAGCCTTTTCGAGGTGTTCTTGCAAGGCAGCACTGGTTTTCAAGTTGAACTCTGTATAGCATATTCCACAACTGTTTCGGCTCGAGGAAGTACCATCAGGAACGATACTAGAAGCTCCAACTCCCCTTCTAAGGCTAGATAGGGAGGGCGATACTTGTTTGACCATATTAAAGGTTGTGGCTGCGTGAAAAGGATTAGAAAGAATCGCAAGGGTTTGAGAGGGTTTGGATGAATGCTGAGAAAACCCTGGTGACAATTGCCAGCATATCAAGGATCTCATGAAAAAAACAAACACAGCTTGAAATTTGATGCCAGGGGGAGCTGCAGTACCAATCGCACTTTATAACAAAATGCTAGAAATATTAAGAAATAGCTGAGACTGCTCCTCTCTTGAGAATATCCGAGGGCACAGTGATTGCGGGATGGTAGAGAATCATTCACCTGGAACGAGTGAATTAACAACAGAAACATAAACATATGAAAAACAGGTCAACAAAAGTACTAGTATGAAGGAATCAGAGTTCTGAATAGATATCTCCTGTCAGTGAAGAGAGATACTGATAGTACTAGTAGTTATGATCAAGTGGAGCAATGCTCAGACATAGAACTTGAGAAAACATATGAAGAAATGGGCTAAGAAAAGTAGACGATGTGAAGTAAATAGAAAGAGTGTTTGGAATACTTTTCTTTATTACTTTCGTCATACCCAGCAACAAGATCCACATTATTGTGTTTGTGTATTTTTGCGATGTAAGAAAGAAAAGAAAAGGGGGTTGGAAGGAAAACCACGTGATTATCCAACAACGATCTTTTTTTTTTTTTTCCAAAATCCAGAAATACAGAAGTATAACGGCGAACATCAGATCACTCTGCCACACTCCATAACCGTTTAGAGGAGCGCTCATGAAACCACACTTACGAATATGTCTTCCGACGAAATCGTGTGGCAGGTTATAAACCAGCAATTTTGCTCCTACAAACTCAAGTATGTTTTAAGGTCCATCAGATAGCTGACCCCGGGTGCGGTGCGTAAAAAACCGATCTAATCATCGCCAACATTATGCAGGACAACCAAAGGCCAAAACTTCTGCCGCAACGAATATAACGTGACCGGCCTATGCAATAGACAGTCATGTCCGCTCGCAAACTCCCGATATGCCACGGTTCGCTCCGACTCAGCAACAGGCGCGATGTACCTATACATGAAGACAATTGAGAGATCTCACATGCCCAGCAAATGGTGGGAGCGGATACGATTATCGTCCAACTACGCAAAAGCCCTCGAGCAGCTCGATGAGCGCCTGATCTACTGGCCCAAGTTTTTAATCCACAAATGCAAGCAGCGACTTACTAGACTCACGCAGGTGTCTATACGGACGAGGAAGCTTATTAAGGAAGAGGAAAGGCTGGGAGAGAAATTGGTTGCGAAGCTAGCGCCTAAGGTCAGGAGAAGAGAGGAGACTCGTGAACGCAAAGCAGAGGCTGCTGCGAAGGTGGAAAGGGCCATTGAGAGAGAGCTGATTGAGAGATTACGGAGTGGCGCATATGGTGATCGACCGCTGAATGTGGAGGAGGGCATATGGAAGAAGGTTCTGCGCGGCTTGGAGAGGCAGGGAGAGGGTGAGCGGGATGAGGATCTCGACGAAGGCATTGAGGAAGAGGAGGAGGAAGAGGAAGGTGTTGGCGAGGTTGAGTATGTAAGTGACATTGACGAGGAGGAGGATGATGATTTGGAGGATATGGAGGACTGGTTAGGTGGCGACAGTGCAGAGGAGGAGGAGGAGGAGGACGACGACGACGACGACGACGACGACGAGGATGATGATGACCACGATGACGATGAAAGCAACGACAACAGTGAGGAGAGCAGCGAAGTGGACGAAGTCCCCAAGAAACCTGTACCTGGCAGCAAGCGGAAACGTGCTCCACTCCCTCCCAAACCAAGGAAGAAGGGTGGCCGGATTGAGATTGAGTATGAGACTGAGGGACCATCGAAGGAGGGGATATATACTTGAATACAATTGCCATGACGAAAAAAACATTTGGTTTGATTTATTCTCACTTGGGACTTTTCGTTGCATCCGTGGATGGCGTTTAGGGATAGCTAAGAGTTCAGCGGCCAGGGGTTTTATAGAATGGCCATGATATGTTAGAAATCCACCACACCAAGATATTTTCTTTCTTCAAAGGATATCTGTGTTATTTGTATAGATACCTTCTAGCTGTCACACAATGGAGCCCATTAATTGATTACCCTTCATCACAGTACTGGTTTCTTCCTGGAGCACTGACAAAGACCTCATCGTCGTCACGTGTTACTCCTCGCAAACTCCGCAACGGCAACTCGGACCTTGAATAAAACACACATTGTGACAACACCTAGGTATATTGCTGCTCAAATCTCGCTACATCGTTCGAATAAGAACCACGAGGCACAGTGGATGGCGACGCGCTTCGGAGCAATTTACTACAGTCGGCGCTGACCCTGCGTTGGCCGGTTGGACTCCATTTGCCCCTCTGTTCCGCCATTCGAAACATCAACGGAACTTCCACCTCCTGACATTCATATTTTCCTCGCCAAATCAAAGTATATTAATAGGAACAGATCAAAACCAGCCCAAACGCAAGCACAAGGAACCTCTGAAACACACTTAAGGGCCATAGAGAGCCATGGCATCCTACTTCTCCTCTCTCAAATCCTCCTCCGCAATCTCCAACTTCAGCACGCGCTTCAACTCTCTCCGCCGTGCCATATCATCTGGCGATGAGACCGACGACCCAGACTCCGAAGACTGCTCTCACATATCCAATGTCCTTCGAGCCTACTACACCGAAAAAGGCCGCAGATTTCCTGCCTGGCTGCCTCCGGACCCCAAGTCCCCCGCTCCTCCACCCCCAACAGTTGTCGTCGCAACCCAAGCCTCCTTCCAGGGATACGGCGGCGCCGCAGGAGGCGGCTTAGGCGATCTATGGGGGGACCCGTCGCCTGCCAGGCACCCACCGCAACAACAGCAAACCTCCAGCCTGCGCGTGGGTCGCAACGCGTCACACCAACCCCAGCCGACGTCCTCATCACATCTCATGCCTTCGCCTCCGAATGGACCCCCCCGGCCAGCCACTTCAGCACCCACCCCACGCACCACGGGATTTTATTTTGATGGCCAGAATTCCCGCACCCCGCCACCTCCCACAACTACAAGTGCTCGTCCGCTCCCTAGCCAGCTCGCGGGCTCTTATCAAACCTCCCAGGCTGCGCAGCAGCAGCAGCAGAATAGACTGGGTTCGGAACTCGAAAAGTCTACATCGGCTGTGTCAGCCCAGGAGAGGCTGCGGGCAAGGCTGCATGGGGGTAGCGCAAATTCGTCCCCCTCCCGCACCCCGAGTCCCGGATACAGTAGAAATGAACAGAGCGGTGGCGGTGGACAAACTTACGGGACAAGTCGTCCGTGGGAACGGGCTGGACAGCCGCGTGGACCTCGATGAGGATATCTGCCAAATGAACATGTCGGATTTTCTATACTTTTCTTGGTGATTGTGAACTTATTCATCTTTCCGATTGCGTATCATCCCTCCAGGCCGGGCGTTTATGGGAATTTTGCTTCGTTGCTATTTGTTGAGCATATAGTTACATATTTTTTCCCCGCAGGGCTTGTATTTGCAATCACCGTTTCTCCCTGCTTTTCTTTGTAGTGTTGCTCAGCATGTTTTTGATGGTAGTTCCCCCCCTCTGCATCATTTTTCTGTACATAAATATCCTGGAAAGGACCGTGAATATAACTTGTTCCATGTTATCGAGACGATCAGCTAATACGAAAGTCTATTCATGCAATACATAAACGGATGGTAATTTTACTTGAAGCACAGCCCAGAAACATGCATAGTTTGGGTCAAATAAATAAGGGAAAAAATCGATGATTCTATGCCATTCCATGCACCTAATCCAAAAAACAAGAACGAGATTTACAAGAACAAATATCGTTACATAAAGGACACTGGGATAACAATGATCACATTAAAAAAAAAAAAAAAAGCCAACAAAAAAATCATAAAAGACAAACGCCCATGACAACACTAAAGTCATTAACATGAAATCAGCCCCTGACCTTCCGATAACTCGGCGGGCTCCATGTCCTGGTTATCAGCTTTACAGCCCAGACAGGCACGAGCGCAACAGCAGCAACAACAACAACCCGCCACACCCATGCCAAGGTAACCACATATTCAAGTCGAAGTAATCACCCAGGAATGGCACGCTGGCCGCATAGACGACGGCAGTGCCGGCAATACACAGGATCATCACGGGATGCCACGTCGTTATCGACACAGCTACCATGACCAGCTCATTCAACACCAGCGCTGTAAACGAGACACTGATCAATTTCGGCCCGGTGACCTCCCCGACGAGAATCTGTGCAAGACCTTGGATTATTGAGCCCTGGTAGACACTGACGAGGACCCAGGTGAAGAACGAGCGGTAACTGAGGCTGTGCCCCGTTTTCAATTCCTTGTACAGTTCAGGGTACAGATTTGCTAGCTCCTCGTCGACGTCGCGGTCCAGAACAAGCGAGAAGACTGGCGCGTTTGTGTAGACCGTAGCATAACCGACCAACAGCCAGTTGATAAACAGCCCCTTGGGGTCGAAGTGGCCCGCAATGCTGTACATGGTCTGGCAAGCGCTGATGATTAAACCGCGGTGCATGATAAACTGAGCGAGTTTGGCAGAGCGTTTGTATGAATTTCGCCCGTGCCAGACAAGAAGCTTTGTGAGGTGATGGAATTGTGTTATGCTGAAGTCGGCAGCCAGTGAGGCCTGTCGACCTTCCTTGCCAATAATTCCAATACCGACATCTGCGGCCTGGATCATGGAGACATCATTGCCGCCATCGCCGATGCAGCAGATACGTTTTTTGGTATGTTCCCTGATTAAACAGGCGATCTCGGCTTTCTGTGTTGGGGAGCAGCGGCAGGCAATCACGGCAGGGAGAAGTACGGCGATTGATATGAAGGGAGTACGAAATTGGGAAAGCAAAAGGGCAAGCGATTCACCGTCGATCAGAAGGCACGAATCCGTTTTGTTCCGGAGGAAGTCGAGCGTTTCCTGGGCAGACCCTTTGCCTTTTAGCTTGGTGACAGTGTGGATATATTGGCCTCTTGCAACAAGTTTCGCGGACACAGCCACGCAACGTGCCGTTTCAACTTTATCACCTGTAAGCATCCATATTTTCACACCTGCGTTGCGAAGGAGTTCGAGAGACGGTTTGACGTCCTTCTGGAGCTTGTCCTCAACGCCGGTGACGCCCAGAAGCTCGAGATTCTGCTCCAGATATTGTTGGGCAACTCGTGCCATTTCGGTGTCTCTGTTGTGTAGGGACAGTGAAGCCTGTTTATAGCTGGTTGAAAAGTCTCTGTACTGCGCTTGAGAGAGTTTTTTCCTGCCAATGACCAGAGTACGAAGTCCTTCTCTTCCCATGTTTGCGGTCTCCTCATCGAGCCAGTCATTAGCGGCAACAATAGAAGACATGACGGTGTCAGCGCCTTTCTGATAAAACCAAATCTCCTCATCCTGCGCTGTTGATTTGTCCAAATCGGAACCTTGTTCGAATAGAACGATAATGCCCATGCGCTTGCTATCAGAAGTAAAAGGGAATATATCCAGAATCCGAACACGCACAACAACGTTGCCAGTGTTTACTGACTTGAGAACAATCCTTTGCCTATCTCTGTGTACTAACTGGAGTCCCACTTCCTGTGTATATTTCACAATCGCAATCTCATCAGGGGACGAAGCCTGGTAGGTTGTCACTCTCTCTCCGTCTTGCTCGTCCGTTGTTGGAGTAACATTATGACAGAGCGCGAGAGCCAGGATTATATCTCGGACGCGAGATCCAATCTCTCGTCGAGTCCGTGTCGTTGAAGCCAAACCAGTGTGGACACCATTTATAGTTGTCGGGGTTACGAGCGATGATTGGTCAGAGGCGGCTATAGAGAAGACTTGCAGAAGATAAGACGCCACTTCATCCATCGCCTCATTCGCGTAAGAAACCGTTCCGACATGGATTTTCTTGAGTTCCATTTCTAAAAGCGCTGTTAGCTCGGGATTACTATTGCAACACTTACATCATATTGCTTACCGTTCTGGGTTAGGGTCCCGGTTTTATCAGAGAGCAAATACTCTATCCTTCCCAGGTCCTCTGGAATGGTGCTGGTTCTGACAACAGTGCCTGGAATACCAGCATCTCGCTCAATAAACCTCCCATACACAGACTTTGCCATGTCCAGGTTAACGCGTAAACTCATAGGAATAATGGTGGAAAAGAGGATCAGATATATCATAATGGCAATATACCATGGCTTATCGTTCGTACCCTCAAAACCTTGCAGAGCAACAAGAATTGCGGAGAGGGATAACGTTAAAACACAGAGAATTTTCGTCAGGCTATTGATTTCGTATTCGAGCAATCCGACCTTCGAACGAGACGGTGATGTCGACATAGCTGATCGAGTTTGAGCCCCAGTGTAAATTACTGCCGCGATTGTTATTGTGTTTGACGCAAGAACTGTACTGGCCCAAGCAGTGTTGTCGATTGTAAGAGGAGCCGACTGTCGCTCGGAGAGACTTTGAGGATGAACGTCGGTCGACAGCGGATTTGTTGCGGAATGAGCTGCTGCATCGGTTTTGTTGATATGAGGGTCGTAAGAACTATGAGTATGGGGTGATAGAGAAATAGTTCCAACAAAAGTATGTACGCTTTTCTCAGGTTCGCCTGCGATGATCTGTATCCTATGCAGCTCAGAGATGGGTAAATTCTGCGTTAGAGGAGAAGGAAGACGTAATTTCCAATCTGTCTCGCCATCCAGCTGGTCTGTTCGTATAAAGGTATCGTTTGACCCATCAAGATTGTTAGCGGATTCATGGGTTGGCAGAAGTAGATCGGGGTCGCCAGTTGATTCCGCAGCATTTTCGTCATGGTTTCTGTCGCCTGGCTCTGTAGTTGGATTAGCATCCTGAGAAGCGTAAACTTCTGGCAAGGCGCTTTTCAGAATGACTACATCAGCAGGAAGACGTTGATCCTTCTGTAGCTTCAAAATATCCCCAACCTTCAAATCACGGGACTTTTTTGTGATCTCGAAAATTTTAGTTCCAGGCAGACCAGAGTCTTGATCAGAAACTGTAGACCTATTTCGGACGACTGGTTTCCGGGAAGATGACGGGGTATATGATATGACAGTGTATTCTTCTGCGTTTGCTTCTGCATCTCTTCGTCGCCGAGAAATGTCATCCAGAGCCTCTTTTCCTAGTGAAATCGATACTACAAAGGCCAGAGGCGCAATATAAGAGGACATATAGCCGATTCTTAGAACGGGTATTATCTGCGATAATGCCACCAGAAGAAAGTAAATGTTGAAAAAAAAGGAAAATTCATTGTAGAGCGTGCGGGGGAGGAAGCTCCACGGGGTATATTTGGCGTTTGATACAACATTGGCGGGATAACGAGTTGGTTGAGTTTGCCCAACAAGCACTTGTCGTGTTGCTTGGTGATCGGGGCTGGAGTGTAATGGCGGATCGACAGGCCTATCAGGCGAATTATCAAGTGACAGCGCGGAGCCAAATCTGAGAAAGGGGAGCTTGGAGCCAAGCCGTGAGTATATGCTTCTGTATGCCGCAGGGGTTGATCGAGGCTGACTGTGTCCATTAAGAAGGGGCATATCAGCTTCAGCATATATCGAACTAGTTCCTGAAACTTCCTGATTGCCACCATCGTGGTCATCAAGCAAGCTATCAATATCTTCTTCGCCATCCTGTTGGCTTGATCTCGCTGCACCGCGATTCCATATGCGATCCCGAGCTCCAGTTCGCAAGTTCCTCAATGCTATACCAGGCCCATATAGTGGAGTGGTGCCAACCCTTCCTCCAATTTTAGGACTATGACCGTTGTGAAGAGGCACAGAAGCCTCCGGGTCAAGTTCATCGAGGTCGAGATCGTCATCGGATTCAGCATCGTCGGACCGGTCTTGTGCATTCGGCATCTTGTATTCATGCATGAGCACCATACTGAGGAGAGGTAGGCAGGAATATATCTGTCAAAGGCCTCGCCTAATACAGTCATGCCTATACTCGGGGCAAAAGTTCGAGAGCTGAGATATATATATATATCAATCAATCATCAATCAAATCAATTGTGAATGGCATCACAAAGGAATGTATCGACAGAACGTCAGATCGCCACGCATCCCAACCATATTATTTGCATTTCATCGAGAATCAGTGCTCATCGAAAACCGGGCCGTGTCCCGAAACGAGGTCAGTTTGCAGGGTGTCGTCGGCGGTAGAGGAATATCTGCTGTTGGGAGTTCAACATTCATCAAAACAGCTCTGACGGATCGTTGGAATCTGTAATTTTATCACGTGGCATACCCTCCCAGGCTAACAACTTGGTACCTGTATCGTAAATCTTACGGTCTTCGTTCCAAGATCTTACTGATGACATAATCCGCACAGAAGGCTTAGCTGGCTACTTCAGCTCAACGTTTCTCCGATTCCGAACTCGCATCGGGCTTCCTTAGGACGACAACGGCTTCAACGACGAGTTTGGTATACATATTCCTCGACCTTGCGTAACCACGCGGACGATTCTATTTTATTAAATGTGGCCATGTTTCGTTTCCAGCGCTGTTATATTTGATCATTGTTGACGCGTGTTATTTTCCGTTCTTTTTCTCGACCGGGTGTGAGTTGGTGCCCGCATCGCCCCCCTTTTGCGACATGGCCATATCTGACCTTTGAACTGAGAAGGCAGTTTTCAATAGGGTGCTTGGAAACTGTCTCATTTAAATGGCACAGGATCTTGTTTTCGAACGTCGAGGTGGCCTTGAATCCAAGATGATTCAACTAGGATCATGGAATCCTGCGTTGAGACCGGATAACAGCCCTCAGCAGGATTCGTTGCTATCGCTGGCAGATTCGAACTCAACTCCGTTACCCGCGAAGCTCTCGACGACGCCCTCGAAGAATTTACATAAGCCCATGCTGCAGCCAACATTGTCCACGACCGGAGACTCCCCTTCAACGGCGACACATGCTGAACTTTCACCTGGCCCATCGGACGGCGTCTTACAGGGTACCTGGGACAACGACATGCAAACAGCACATTCATCATCTCAGGCCGAACCGGAGGAGTCCCCCAACGATATATCCAACAATGATATATCTGCGAAGGTTCACAAGCCCATACAGCCTTTCCAAGCGGAATCTCCATCCGCCGAACGAGGAGCTTCCAATAAACCAACTGCATCTGAAGGGCTTCCTTGGGGGGACGGTGCTGACGCATCCCCCGCTTGGGACATTTCACCCTCTACGACAGACCAGTTTAATGGATTGGGTATGGCTGATCAGATAGATCCTTTCCCGCCAGTGGATGACTCTCATAATCTCGAATCCCACGAAAATGGATATCCCGAAATTACACATGCGGCTCACAATCCAGAGTCTTCCAACACGCTATCTTCAACTGAGGGGAATTTATACCCAAGGTCGAATGAGCAAACTGATTTCTCACCGTGGGGTGCAACAAGTGTTGATGAAGACCCTTCCGGCGAATTTTTCAATCAACTTAACACTCAAACGAAGCCCATTTATACGCCGTTGGAGGCAGAGTCGAAATTTGAAGAAGACATGTTGATGAATAATATAGAGTCATCATATCCGACTGACAATAACCAAGTCGATAGTATTGAAGCAATCTTCAAGGAGGATGAATCGGTTGACGAAACCGGCTTTTTTGTTTCCGAGTCAGACATCCCACCGTTTAACTGCAAATCAACTTCCCAGGTTCCGGATTCTCAGCATTTAGAGCACGTCCAGACGATGGATGCTTCGACAAATGATGAAGTTAATGACAGCCGAGTTAATGAAGTTCTATCTGCCGAGAAAGAGGTCCGCGAGGAGGACTTAGCGGAGAGGTGGAAGGCAGTTCTCGATGATGATGACCTTCTAATTGATGATGATTTGGATGAGCAAAAAACCATCCAAGGAAGTCTACCGAATGGCGCCTCTGAAGACTCGTTGGCCAATTATGCTTCGGAACCTGTGCAAGCTTCACATTTGCCGACCCAGCAACCACCACGTGCGAACCCCTATACTCCATATCAACCGTCATCCTCCGACCTCATGTCGTCCTTTCCTGGCTGCGATTACGGGTTGCATAACGCCGATGTGACGGTTAGTCCTTTTGCCATTCATGCCCAACAATATTCGGGAGACTCCAATCCAAATATGCCTGAAAGCTTCTCCAATCAAACGAAGGCCGGCTACCAATCCCCATATGATTTGCCAATGGAAATCACTCGGCCAAAGCACCGTGCTTCGCAGCAAACTGTTCTTCAGCCTCTTTCAACTACGAATACCTCGATACAACCGCCTCCACGCAAGAGCAGCATGACAGCAGCTCGTCCTTCAAGTTCAAGTTCGGCCTATACCCCGTTACAGCCTACACCTCCCCCATTATCTCGTCGAGAAACCGAGAGAGCTCCTAGCAGCAACTTTTTCGCGGAGTTGCCAACCGTTTCGAGATCTCGTCCCTCAACCGCTTCTAAATATGCTCCCCTGCAAACGGGGACTCAGCCCACCCCCCCTCCATCCAATTTTATACCTCCCAATGCAATCCGAACCCCTAACTCGGGCCCGGAAACAAGTGACCAGTTTCAGCTGCAGAAGCCTGAACGGCTAGACCCTTATTCCTCCCTCCCTGTTCCACCAGGCCCAACCGTCTCTGGACCATCCGCGCATTATTCTCCAAGGCCCCGTACATTACACCCTGGATCCAAGCCCCCATCATCTCCAAGATACTCCCCTGCCCCACCCGCATCCAGCAGGACTCCTTCAGGTAAATATGCGTCGCAGCCTCCAACAAGCTATGCCGCTTCCAATGTCGTGCCCTTTCAGCCGAGAACTTCAAGCCCCTTGGCACAACAGGAGAATATATCCAGTTCATACACACATCCAGCACATCCAGCCGAGTTTCCCCCCACTCCCTTTCCATCAAATGTTTTTCGTCAACCTCCGGACCAAACTCTTCCTCCAGCTACCAGTACCTCTTTCTATTCTCAATCTCCGCCGGCATCGGTTCAGCACCAACAGTTTCCCGAGCAGCGTCCCAAACCACCAAGGCGATCACAGACCCAATCGCCGAGCAGGCTCCAGTACCAACCCATACTATCAAGCGTTCCCGAACCGTTCCAAAGGCCTGCGTCCGTCCACGGCCCGGGGTCTTCTCTTCAACCTCATGCCAATCAGGCGGCTACAGAACGCCCTTCTACAGCACTAGATTTCATATACCCAACTGATGGACAAGAGCTTGATCCACTTCAACGATGGAAGGGAGCACCGATATTCAAATTTGGTTTTGGTGGAATAATTGCCAGCTCGTTCCCTCAACACACTCCCAGATATGCGACTGGTCAACTTGTTCCAAAAATAAAACCTTCCCCCGGAGAAACAAAAGTGCGCCCCTTGAGTGATGTGTTTCCGCCAGGAGAGCCAAGTGCCAAATTCCCAGGACCTCTGAGAGCTAAATCAAAGAAAAAAGAGGTCCTCTCATGGTTATCCTCTATGATTTCTAAGTTCGAAAATGATGGCACCTCTCTAGCCACGGTGTCTCCGCAGCAGCACAATGAGAAGATCCTTCTCTGGAAAACCATGCGGGTTATGGTTGAACACGACGGGGTTTTAGCAGGTAATCCTGATGTTGAAAATTCTGTGCGATCTATTTTATCTCCTCTCCCCGAAATCACCCCGGCCCCATCGGAATCTCTTGGGTTCCATCCCCAGCTTTCGAGTGTGTATGAAAGCGTTAGTGGAGAGGCCCAACCGGAGCCGAAGAATGTGGGTGCAATGGAGGCCATCCGTAAGTCCCTTCTAACCGGAGAAAGGGAGCGGGCCGTCTGGGAAGCTGTGGATCGCCGTTTATGGGGTCATGCCATGTTAATATCCTCAACCCTTGAAAAGTCTGTCTGGAAACAGGTAATGCAAGAATTTATTAGAAGGGAAATCAAGGCTGTTGGTAACAATACCGAGCCGATGGCTACGCTTTATGAAATATTTGCTGGCAATTTGGAAGAGAGTGTCGATGAATTGGTGCCACCATCTGCCCGCGCAGGTTTGCAGATGGTGAGTAAAATAGGGGGCGCTGGCCACGTGAAGAACGCCCTAAGCGGGCTTGAAAAATGGCAAGAGACGTTGTGCCTAATTCTAAGCAATAGAAGCCCGGAGGACAATGTTGCCCTTCTTGCACTTTCTAGGCTTCTTTCGGCTTACGGAAGGATAGAGGCTTCGCACATCTGTGCATTATTTGCGAAATCTGCTTCCGTCCCTTTATTATTTAGCGGCCCGGGCGACCCGCAGTCACAGATCGTGCTTCTTGGTACGGACCACCGCCGATACCCATTCACCTTCGCCAACGATCCGAATTGTATCCTTCTTACTGAGGTTTACGAGTTTGCATTGTCCGTGCTTTCTGGTTCTTTAACTTCAATAGCACCACATTTACAGGCTTTCAAGCTTCAATATGCACTTTCTCTTGCTGAAAATGGCAACAAGACAGAAGCCCAGCAGTACTGTGACGCTATTGGAGCTATTCTAAAATCAACAACAAAACCGTCCCCGTACTATAATCAACGGTTTCTCTCTGAACTTGACGAGCTTGCTAACCGATTAAAACAATCTCCTGCTGGTGGTTCCTCTTCTTGGATGTCGAAACCCAGCATGGAAAAGGTCTCCGGGTCCATTTTGGCGAAATTCAACAGTTTCGTTGCTGGTGACGACAGTGATGGTGGCTCCACTGGATCGGGTAGAGCGGGAGATGCGGACGTTGGACCGTTTGCAAAGATGGTTGGCACTCCTCCAATCAGTCGCTCACCTTCTCTTCACGACACCTACGCCGCGTTTGGGTCTGGTCAGCATATGCCTACGATGCACCCCACCTCTCGTTACGCTCCCGCAAACCAGTATGCCCCTTATTCTCCAGATCAACACCGTGGCCGTGGATCCGTTGACTCGCAAAGATCACCACCTTCTACTGGCCATTCTTACTCTCAAGGCCGCGCTTCTCAGGAACTAAATAAGGGTATTGAGAGTCCGTACCATCCAAATGCATCCCATCATGTTTATAGCCCACCATCAGTTCAGGGAATGGGCTCAACACCACCCCAACAACACACATATACTCAGCTGGCTCCAGTTGAGGAAATATGGCCCTCTCAAGGCCCAGAGCATGCAAGCTCGGAAGGTCCGATTCACTTTGGCGGATACCAACCTACTTTTAACCAGAAATCTAGCATGGAGGAGGAGGCCGGATCCCTCACTACCCAAAAAACCACCTATGAACCCCCATCGTATGAGCCCGGACCTGCTGATACCGATGAATTAGACAAAGAGAAACCTAAACAGTCATTTATGGATGACGATGACGACGACTTTGGGCCTCGTAACGAAGCCGTAAGGAAGGCTGAGAAGGAACGTAAAGATCACGAAGCAAACGAGGCATTTAAAAAGGCTGCAGAGGAAGATGGTAAGGTCTTGTCCATTTACCTTGTTATTAACCCAATTCTAACCACGTTTCTTCGGGTTTGTAGCCAAAAAACAGGTGGCAGAGAAAAAGGGGTGGTTTTCGTGGCTGAGTAAAAAGGACCCGAACGCTAGCACTGGAGGCCCAATTAGAGCTAAGCTTGGAGAGGAGAATTCGTTCTACTATGACAAAGAACTGAAGAGATGGGTTAACAAAAAAGACCCAAACGGCGCGGCTACAACCGCCAACTCCACACCGCCACCTCCCAAAGGTCCCGCACCAGCAAGCCGATCCGCCAGTTCAACCAGCGCCGGTCCCCCGTTGGCAAATAATTTACCAACATCAGGCTCGGCTCCAACCCTTGCTCCACCACCTAACCCATCAAGTCGGTCGCCTTCACCAGCTGGGGACTCGTCGCCTCGGAACTTCAGTCCGAGCATACCGTCTTTGGCAGCGCCACTCTCAGCGAGCCCGTTACCGATCCAACGATCCGTGTCGACTGGGCTGCCATCGAGACCAGGAACTGCACTAAGTAATGCCAGCTCCATTGATGACCTTCTAGGTGCACCGCAGGCTAGGAAGGGAAACACAGTCCGGGGAAAAAAGAAGGGCAGAGGCTATGTTGATGTTATGGCCAAATGAACATACGTAACCCCATTTCGTCCTTTGGGAACGAGGGAATGAACCATTTTGCACGGTTAGCTATAACGAAATGAGTATCATGTTGCGTTAGGACGACGAGGAAATGAAAGACCATCGAAACAGCCAGGCCTTTTTATTTCGAAACGTTCTCGACTATACCTTACCCAACCGTTTATATATATATCGACTATATATATTGACTAACCGATAAATTTTTACATTACCTTCCCACGTTCCGCGCTGCAGTTTGCTGCGTGAATGAGTCCCCTTTTTCAACCATATATATCTTGTAATATCGGCGCTTCTCTGTCCTCCCCAGCATGTTTTACATAATCTTTTCCGTTCGAGCATTCAACGTGTCGCTCCCTATTTAGCGACATCTTTGTCTTACTACATTATTATATACTTCTTTTCGCACCTCTTTGAAAGCTACACTGTTTCCCACATCAACTGTTACATTTTCGTCCAAGGTTGTTGTTGAACTATCTTATTTTGGCCTCATTTTTTCCCCCTCTCCAACAGTTTGTTTTGTTTTCCATCTTGTATATTACTTGGCAATTTTCTGCATCAAAATATTTTAATTAACTTCATGAGCATTTTTGGCTTTTTTTTTTTTCTTGCCCATTAAAAAAAAAAAAAAAAAAAAAAAAAAAAAAAAATAACAAATAAATAAATTGCTTGCTGGGTTCTTAGGGAAGTGATAGTAAAAAGAAATGTTCAGTTGATTGACTCCGTTGTGTTAGTTTAAGAAATACACCCTCTGTCTCGAAATTATATGACAATATAAGATATGACTTCTCATCATTTATTTTAAATTTTGTCCCTTTTACCCGAGCACCGTTGGTATTCAATTCTAAGGACTTAAAAATAAAAAAAATAAAAATGGAAATAAAAAAAATAAATTGCGATCGAGTTGAGTTATGGGTTTCACAGCAGCGGTAGTGAACTAATGATCGACCGCTACGTTGCAGTAAATCTCACAAGTATGGCGGGAAAGCGAGGCCAAAATTGGGATGTGGAAGACTCAAGATGGCGGGCTGTCCGTGTGTCGCAGTGGCGCGCATGTATCGCTGGCGTGAAACATAGGGTGATATGGTGAGGTATTCATAGGTTGATCCTAGGTTGAACGAAGGGTGGGTTTTTCTTTTTCTTTTTATTTATTTATTTATTTTCCCACCGAACCCCAAACCACACTTGGGCTCGTATTTTCTCCCTCCTATCTAGCTGCGTCACGGAGCTTCAATTTATCATCATAGCGCTATGAGCCACCCTGCAAAGGTGCAGATTTGTGAAATAGCAAGAGGTGAAACTACCATGTACTTGTAAAAAGCATATAGGAAATTTCCTTACGTATGCGTCAATGGGGATGTGCGTAACTCCAGTGTAGCAAACTCAAGCGGCGTAGGAGTTGACATAATACTATGGAGAAAGATGGAGTCAGAAATTTGTGAAAATTGAGACGCGGTTTTGTTATTGACTGATGCAATCCACGCTGCCCCGATCCGTGGGGGTGTAGAATCCCAAGCAACCATATACAGCAACGGAGTGTTATATTAAACTTACTGTTAAACAAGAGTCCTCCCCACTTCCGCTATCTGGTAAGTAGACGTACAAGATCAGTGCAGTATCGTGGAGGAAGCCTAATGAGTTTATTTTAGACAAGGGTCATTTGTATGGAGATGTTAGAGAGGTGATTTTGTCACATCTACAGAACGTGAATTCATTTGGCAGCCCATTGGATAGTCCGTGTCTGCGGATAGCACATTGGATACAGAGAAGGTGGTCGAAAAAGCGCAGATGCGTAGATGTGATTAAAGCGGAAACTTACACGCGACAACCCGTGGACTCAGCCGTCCAACACTCAACACCCGGCCCCAGTCCTTCCCATCAATCCTTACTTTGGCCCACCCTTCTTCTGACTCCCCATTCTCCCCACCCAGCTCCTTCATCCGCTCGCTGGGGTGCTGCTCCAGCTCGTTCTGAGACAGCTGCGCCGGGTCCAGAGGCGGGTTCAGCAGGCCAGTCCACACGCTGGAAATGCGCAAAGTGTCTGTAGCGATAGCAAGTTTCAGAGAGCCATACATGTTTGCTGACAGCTCGAGCTTGGGGCTGCTACTACTGTGGGCAGTCCCTGCCCCCACCCCTTGCGTGGATGATAGCCCCGTCGTGGCCGTGCCAGTGATGCTTTTGGCAGCGGAGCCCATGGCTAGTTTCGTAAAGCGTTCTGAGATGCTTTTTAACTGTATTAGGCTGGGGAGAACGATGAAAACATCCGGGCTGCGGCAACGGGGTTCGTGCAGCCCTTCCACGGTCGCGGGCAGAAGGACGCGAACGGGGATTTCTTGAGTTATGATGGTTTCTCGTTCACGAGGGCCGTCAGGCTGGTTTCCATGTAGTTGTGTGGTGCTGCCTGGTGGCGGCATCCCGTTTTCGGTGTTGTAGCTGTTCCCCACACCCAGGGCGTTCTTCCCTGAGGTCCATGACGAAGTTACGATTGACAGTGCAAGCAACGGGACAGGTCCCTTCTTGGTCAACCGCAGCTGAGCTGAGGTTGCACCTATTGCAGAGCGGAGAGCCCTGTGGAGGGCGCTGATGGGGACTTCGAGATTGATAACGCCAGCGGCGGCACTTATGGAGTAAGACTCAAAGACTATGCCCTATAGCATGGCGTGGGAAGACATGAGTTTATTTCTGTTCTTGTATTTCACTTGTGTGCTTCATCTTTTGGAAGTTCCCTACAATTGGCAACTGAGCCCAGACCTGGGTTCCCTGGTCTGGGATGATCGTAAAGCGGACAGCTTCATCTTCCAGTCGAACCCAACATATTTTGCCTAGAGATGATAAAGAGGCGGTAAATTCTGCAGATACAGGTCAGTCTGAATTTCATTGGTAAAGGCAGTCGGGTGGATACCGCACTGGCAAAGGTTTTCACGTCGCTGAGCTGGCTTTTGAAGCGCATGTTGCTGGCTGAGTTGTAAGGAGGATGTAAGAAGCTAAACCATTTATTACCTGCTGTGACTAAGTTCAGGATGGAGCAAAAAGTGTTTGGGTATGCGAAGAAATCTCGATGGAAATGTCAGCGCTGGGGACGTGGCTAATGATTCCAAGTCTCAGGGAAGAGGACCTTATGGGGGTTCAGCCCCTAAATGGCAGTTAAACTTTAGGCAACAAACCCCTAGAAGAGCCCTGGACTTTCTCGGCAACGCTGCTAATATCGTATGTTATCCTTAGTAACCGAACCTTGTTCGATATTATTAAATAGTAACTATAAATTTCTCTGACGCTCCAACGATCGGTGGAAATACCGGGCATTTTACAGGAAAGAATTGATGATGATGATGCGTGGTTTGTATTCTTGGTTTGTGTGATAGTATCTCGCTTTGGCGGTAACATTGTTGATGATCTGATTGACGTTTGGAGAGCTCTATCAAATCCAGTATTCAGACAGATTCATTGCCTCTGATTCACTTGCTTTGATCTTTCGTCGACATTCATCGTTTGATATAACTAGCTAACTAGTGGTTAAACGCTGAATGAATTGCATGTTATCAAGGATTTTATTTCCTCTCTGTCTCGTCGCTTCTCTCTGTATGCGAGATGTTCATTGACAAAGAAGTTCCTTGCGGAATCTGTTTTCTATATTGCAGTTATAGTTCTTCGTCTCATATGAATAACTCTCGCGTCAACATCCTGTGCTTCTGACAACGTGAATTGTTTTCCTTTATCCACCAGCGTCTATATCATAAAGTACATTGTTCGAACGTTCGAAAAGCAAAACATGAAGCTCTCAACTCGGGCCCTGTCCTCGCAAAGACTTCAGGGTTCCGTTCCAGCCTGGCTTGACACAAGGCTCTCGTATTATTGTGGCGGACGTAAAGCTTGCGAAAACAGAATTTTCTGCCACCCCCTGAAAAATAGTAGCAAAACACCGCAGAAATAACCAAAATATCCACGTCTAAAATCATTCAAATATCATCCAATCCATTCAAATACGCACCTTTATCATCAAATCTGCCAATATGCCCCCCCAGCTCAGCGAATTTACCACCAATGAGATCGTACGCCTTCTAAATGATGGTTATATGCCTGCTCAGATTGCGCGGACCATTGAGTGCAGTCTGGCCACTGTATATCGAATCCAACGAAATATTCGCTGCTTTGGAACTGCTAGAAGTCCTCGTTCAACATGGGGTGTAAAGCCAAAGATCACACCGGATATCTTGTCAGGTTTGGAGGACTTTTTTGAGGCATATTCAACTGCATATCGCGATGAGGCTGTCTGCTTTGTGAAGGATGAATTTGATGTTGATATCCACCCTCGATCGATATCTAGATTGTTGAAGAAACTGAATTTGACATGGAAGAAGGTGATTAATTATTGCAATTGTCACTTATAGAACCTGCTAATCTGTCAGTTCTATTTGATATAGGTTGAACCTGTGGCCAGTCAACGCAACGAAGAACTTCGAGCTGAATGGCGTATTCAAGTTACTCAGTATCAACCTGATCAACTTATCTTTTTAGATGAGAGTGCTGCGAATGAACGTACTGCAGATCGACGATATGGATGGTCAAGCAGAGGATTCCCTTGTCGCATTAGAAGGCCCTGTAAACGATCTCGCAGATGGTCAATCTTACCTGCAATAAGTGTCGATGGATATCTTGATTATGATATATATCAGGGGTCCTATAATACAGAGAGGTTCAATGAGTTTGTACGTGTCCGGATACTGCCCAAATGCCAACGAGGTTATCACTACTTAGTGATGGATAATTGCTCTTCTCATCGTTCACAAGCACTGCGAGATCTCTGCAGAGAAGCTGGCATTGGACTTTTATTCTTACCTCCATATTCTCCTGATTATAATCCTATAGAGGAGTCATTTCACGCGTTGAAAGAATGGATTAGAAGATACAGATGTCAGTTAGAGAATCAGTTTGATGGAGATTTTGAAGCCTTCTTGCATCATGCAGTTGAGAATTTCATGGGAGAAGAAGATGCAAGAGGATATTTCAGATCGGCTCATATAGGATAGTATTGTAAAATTTAAAAAGATTCAGATTACAATTCAATTATGATGATATATAATATCTAAGTTTCAAATTCAGAAGCAGAAGCAGTATGAAGTCTGCTGTCATCATTACAAACAGCAGATAAAGACAATTTAATCTCCTTCAACTGTGACTGCCAGATAGAACTCTTTAACCCATTTCTTATTATCGAGAATATACCCATTCCAATATTCAACTGAACCACCTGCTCATTTGTCATTGTCCGTATATGATCCAGTTCAAATCCTTCATTCTGAATAATGCTCTTTGCAGTTAAAAGAGCTTCTGCTCTTCGAGGTCTCTCTGTCATCAACCAGTTGAAGAACTCATCAATAAACAGATCCGCGTGTTCACCAAACTGAGGGATTGGACTACTTCGAATAGGAGGCAGGTTCGGATTCGATGGCAGGTTCGGATTCAATGGCAGGTTCGGATTCGATGGCAGGTTCGGATTCGATGGCAGGTTCGGATTCGATGGCAAGTTTGAATTTGATGGCAAGTTTGAATTCGATGACAAGTTTGAATTCAGTCCTCCCATGCCTCCCATTCCTTCCATCATATATTTCATCACCATCACATTGATTATCTCACTTGGAGACACAATATTAGATGAAGAAGGAGTTGAGGGAGATATTGGATACGATAGAAGCTGACAGTCATATCATTTGTTGTGACATTCCGTAACTTGATCTTTATAGGCTCCTTTATCCCATTGATAATCACCCGTTCATACAGCTGAATGAGATCTCAGGCTCAGGGGTAGGTGTTCGCAGAAATCGAGGATCTTCTGACTGTGTCTCCTCCTCCTCCTCCTCCACCACCACCAGCAAGTAAGTCTTCTGTATCCTCGTTACAAACATACTTCGGATTCTTCCAAATATCCTGGAACGTCCGCACACTGCAGTTTGCCCGTCGAAGGCACAGGGTCAGA